GAAGTGGTGTTGAAGGGGGAATTAATTTCCCTGTAAAATAGAAGCTTTCATCAAATGAATTATAAAAATTTATTTCTCAAAATAAAAGCAAAAAAAAAGTTTTGTTCCAAAGTTGAAGGAGTTTCATATTCAGCTGCTGAAAAAAAGAGAGAGGAAGTGGGGCAGAGGGGCACAGAGAAAGAAAACTATTTTAGGTGAATGTTTTCACAGAGGCAATCCCACAGGAAAACTACAGTTTTTCAAAGAATATGCAATGGAGAAAGCAATTCCCATTCCCTCCTCCCAGCTATGTGGAAAAGCAGAATACACTGGAGCCAAGTGTTTTTAAGCAGTACAGCTGCTCTGCTACCCATACAGGTGAGAGATTTTCATTAGGTGCTTTTGGCAATACCCCTATGGAGTTCCCCTGGTAGGGGATAGTGGACTGTAGCTAGAAACTCAGTTATTTTCAGTCACAAGGAAAACTCTTCCTTTTGTCAGGTTTAAAGACTTTCTCCTTCCCTGCCACTGTCACTCTTTCCAAGCCTATGCCAGAATTTAATTTCTGCTGCTTTCCCTGCATCAGCTGTTTCCAAAATGGACTTCGGAATGGCCAGAGTGGAGGTCAATACTCTAGCTCTATTTCAGAAGGGACACACAGTCTTTCCAGGATGTTCTGCTGGGCTCAGTCCTGTTGGCAGTACAGCACAAACATTGTCTGGACACCCAGAGAGTGCAGAGGTGGAGGTGGGCATGAGCCCTGGGGGAGGATTCCTGCAGGGCTGCACTGCTGAAGGGGGAAGCAAAACAGTCTGGTGGAGACCAGCTCCCTCAGGAAGATCATCTCTCCTGCTGCAGCTGCTCTTTGGAGAAGACAGCATTTTTTAACTTTCCAGATGCAGCTGGGCCAGCTCTTTCTATAGTTGTACACCTTTTTTTTTACAGAAAATGGAACATTTTAGAAATCGGTTTGCAAGACTTTTATTCTGAATTAGCTTTATCCTAAATGGTCAATGCCTCCCCAAAACATAGGCCAGCTTTTCTTTGTGCTTCAGCTGTTGTGCTTCCCTTTGCCCACCTGGCTCCAGTACCCTGGGGGCAGAGCTGCTTTTTAATCCCTGGGATGGCTGCAGTGCTCACAGCAGACCAGGATGCCCTGGAGCAGATCTGGATGCTATTCTAGCACAGAGGCAATAATGCTCATAGAAAGCAGTACTGTGTTTATGCAAACTGTTTATGCTTATGCAGCCCATCCTACTGAGCTGCTCTTTTGCTCCAGACAATCTTGGCATTTCAGAGGGATATATCAACATTTCCTCTGACACAGCTCTCTCTTGTCAGAGCAGTAAACAGCAGGTAGTTCTTATTCCTTTCCAAGGCGATGGGCTGTATAGTGGCAGAATGTCTGCATCCACCTCTCAGCACTCTTATACAAATCTTTGAGACAACTCACTCCGTAACAAGTGAAGTGTTTTAGATAAAACCCCATGTACCATCTTGTGCCAGAATAGATTTCACTTTCAGTCGAGTAAAACTTAGTTGTAGACTTTGCCTCTTCCTTTATTTTGGTTTTGTGTTGCTATGCCTAGTCGCATTTTTTGGTGGTTAAAAGGGATTTGCAATGATTCTGTGGAACACCTGAGGGAGAACCATGGATTACTATTGATCTACTGACTACTGGAAAAGAAATGTGGCCTGAAACCTTCTGCCAGAACCCATCAGTTAATGCAATGGGGAGGACCCAGTCCTTCAATTCCCCGAAGTCAGCATTATTGAGGCTTCTAGCATAATAAGGACATGAAGGAGTATTGGTTATGAGCTTGGTTTCAGAAGTAAAAATATTTCACTGAAGTAGCAACCACAGTAGTAGCAACAGTAGTTTTAGGCCATAATTTCCCCACATGCCAAAGAGAAGCAGGGTTTCTGGACAGGTCACTGCACTACAATTAAAAAATCTTTAATAGTATTTCATCTGTGACACTGTTTCACAGGACAGATATTGTGTTTATCCCTGCCTCAGTTTCCTTGGCTGTGAAATAATGTAATTGGAAGCATACTGTAGAAATGTGTTCTGAAATAACTGAATATATTGCTAATAGCAACAAAACAAGCACTGCTATTTTTAATATATTTCTTCCTCAGACAGCACTGCACTTACATCAATCTGCATGCTAGAAATTTCTACTAAAGAAATACAGAAAGCTCAGATATCTCTATGGAATGGTGAAAAAAAGAAAAGAAAAGAAAAGAAAAGAAAAGAAAAGAAAAGAAAAGAAAAGAAAAGAAAAGAAAAGAAAAGAAAAGAAAAGAAAAGAAGGGACCTTGAAAGAAAACAACGATTTTGGGGATCAGAGCAATACAGTCATAGTTACACTTTGAGAATCATCAACCAAGTCCCTCCAGTGATGGCTGGGCCAGCATGGAGGCTCTCAGATTTGTCACATACAGATCACAGAGGCATAAAAGACCAAAGTCCCAATAAAGAAGGCAGGCTAGTTTGCTTATACATTTGCTTTGATAATTAAGGTTTACAGAGAGAGCACATCCATGCTAAAATAATGGCCAAAAGGAAGCAGACAGAACACAGCTTGCCTCTGGAAGGGTTTGACTCACATGCTGCTGAGTTATTCATGTGAGCTGTGTGGAAGATATCTTTTTGTTTTGTTTTGTTTTAATGCTGATGGGATAATCTTTTCTTTTGAAAACAGCCTCCTAATGCATCAGGACAGCTGCCTGGGATACACCTCATTTAGCGGCAATTGTCTCTCTAATGTTTATAACCCTCCCACTGCCATCCAATATACAGTCATCATTTATCCACTCATTTGACTAACACAATGTTAAAATGCCCTTCCAGTGCTTTGTTTTGCTTACTTCTCCATTCCCTTGCTGTCCTCTTGTCAGAGATGTTAAAACCTCTTTTGAGCAACTGGCATCTCTGCGTCAGGGGTTTGTGGCTGAAGGATGCTTTCCCCACTCTACCCTGCAGTCTCTCCCTCCTGTTTAATTACAAGCTGGGGAGTGTGAGACATCATCTATCATTCCTTGTTCATTGTATTCAACAGATGCACATTTTGGCCTCTTCAACAAACTGACCAGGCATATGGAGCATGTTATTCTGCTTGTGAAACCTGCCCTTTTAAAATCAATACCATTGTCTCCCATGATGAAATCTCAGGAAATGAGGGGGGAAACCCCCAAAAACACCTGAATTTTAAGGCCCCTAGTATCATTCTTAATCCTTTCTTGTACAGTAGCTTGTCACAGTCAGATGTGAGTACTCTTTTGTAAAAGCAACCACGCTGTGTTTGAGACCATCTGCATGATGTGGGTTGGGTGGGGACAGTCAGAAATTCATGCAGTGGTACATAAAATGTGAAACTTCAGAAAGTTAAATCAAGCTTTGCAGATAATTTTCCACAAGATGATGATCTTGAAACAGAATACAAACATGTGCCCACTTTTTGTTTTGGCCACAGCTGGCACATGTAGTATTGATACCTCACAGAGGAGATTGAAGGACACAGGTTTTGCCATCATGTAAGTGCCTTGGGTCTGCCAATAAAAACCTGTCAGAATGAATATGCTCCCAACTGTGCTTGACCTGATAGCAGAGAGGCCTCTAACACTAATGCTTCTTCTGAATTTTAAATCCATGTGGTATTGTGGACAGACTTAGTGTCTGGGATTATTTATACAGATAATCCCAGACACTAAGGAGAGCAACATTTTTCTCAGGCACAAGGCTGCAGTTCAGTAAACAGCGCTCAGGTTGAATGATCCAGAACAAAATGTTTCATTTCTTTTTTTTCCTCTTCCTTAACTTTCTTTGGGATAAAACAGATGTGCAGTCAGCTCGGTGATTTTGAGTCGTTCCTTGAGATTTAGCGTTTACTTGAGCAATAACATTACTCTAGGGCATTAAGAGCACACAAGACTGAAGATATGAAATTTGTAGAGCTCATGGCAAGCATGAAAACTGGAATAAAAACTATGCTGGAAGTGGATTTATACTGTTTACCTCTCACTAATCATAAAAGTAGCTTGAATAGCTCCCTATTATTTTGGTGTTGTTTTCAGTCTGTCAGGCAACTGTGCCACCTGACAACTGAAAACTTCACCTGTAAGTATACTGCTGGTATTTGAAGCAGGCTCCTGTAAAACATGCGGCAGAGTTGAAATCTGTGCATGTGAAACTTTGTTCCTGATGGAAATCCTGGGGGGAAGAGAGGAGGCATGTCCCAAAAATGTCATAAAGAGCTTTGATAAGAGTGATCCTCCAAGAAAACAACACACGGTCTGAAATTGTAAAAATGCCCGGTGATACAGCCATATATTCCTTCCTGACAGAGCCTAGGTTTGCAAGGCACTCAGAACTGACCCTCTATGATGTGAAGTTGTGCAAATCCATCTGTTTCAAGGGTGTTCCTGCCTCAGTGGAAAAAAAAAAAAAAAAAAGACAAGGAAAAAAAAATCAAAGGCTTGAGATGCTTTGTGCCAGTTGTGTGTGGTTGCTAATTACTGTGGTATCAGCTGCTGCTGAGTAAGCTTTTATGTTCCATGCTGAGTAGCATTCATTCTTTGGTCAACAGCAAGACTTGTGGAAAGCTTCATCTCCAGTGTTTGTATCACTACACTGTTTAGTTTGCAGGGTGAAAACCAAAGCTTTCTCCTACTTTCTTTTGGCTACTTTGACACTGTGTGTGGCTGCTGGCCATGCATTAATAGTACATAAGAAAGCTGCAGATCAAAGAACTACCTGACCTAGAGGCCACAGAGTAACAGAGAAAGAGACAAAAAAACTAGTGCGGTGTTCCCTTGATATAACCAACCACCCTGCAGCCTGGGGACCTCCTGAATCAGAGACTGTATCCACAGCTCTGTGCTGAACAGTCCTCAAGAGACCTATCATCCTCTCCAAATGCATCTAATTGCTTTCTGAATCCAGTTATATTTTCCTCCTTGGCATGTTCAAAAGCTTCATTTGTTACAGGCTAATGAGCTTAATAAGCTGAAGCTGTGTTTTTATTGAAAGGTTAATGATTGCAAACATTTAAATAGTTAAATCAACTCCTTAACAGAGTATGGAGTTACAGAGGAAGGTAACAAACAAACCTGACCCTTCCAGGAAGACTGCTGAGGAATTTTTGGGTTAGTGTGGATTTTATATGCTTGGAGCTTCTGGGGCTTACCACTGTGATGTTCCAGCTCACACCATTTCTACTTTCCTTTCTGTTGTGCTGGGTTTAGGTCACATTAAATCCTGAACTGAGCCAGTCTTTTCCCTGTAGCTTCTTTGTGTCTCAAGTTAGTTTTGCAGTTAACATCTGCTGCTTTGTGTGACTACTTTATCTCCATGAATCATCTCTTAAATTTATACAGTCTGTCACGTTGGTCAAACAATCCATTGACAACAGCTTTGTTACTTTTAAAAGTGTTTTGACCTCTTAAGGTGGTTTTAGCACTACAAGTCAAATGATTGCTTTATAACTGTAAAATAGAGCTTTGTTTAGTGACACTTGAGAAAAACTCTAAAAAGCTAGAATGAGGGACCACTTATATATTTGATAGCAACCAAATAGCTCTACATCGTTGAAATAATTATAATTGATGGTACTGTAACCTTGGGAGAATTAGAGGGTTTCTCTCTTACAGGTGATAAAAAAAATATGTCTTGGATGATATGAAAAGAAAATTTGTGTGTTTTTCTTCCCAGGAATGTTGGTTTTGTGCAGTGCCCAAGTGACCAAAGGAATGAAATGAAGACAAATGGCAATAAAATAATTCCAGAGGTAATGTCACCATATTGACTTCATAAGGAAGTTTTCCACTTCCTGCCTTTCCTTTTTGTCTTCTTATTGAAATGTTGGATATTCTGCCTCCCTGTCTTTCCTTCTTCAGCTGGCCAACAAAAGCTGGTAAATGAAGGATTCTGCAGTGTGTAAGTTGCAGTATAATTTTGTCAGGCACAGTGGTTTATCAACCTAGAACTCTAATATCCATCTGACTACAGGGATGGCCTATAAAGGCCCACTTGGAAAGCATACTGAAGTCAACAGAGGCTCCTGTTGACTTAAATGGGCCCTAGACCAGGCCTGAAATGAAATCTGTCTCCAATTGCCAGTTGACAAAGATCCAGGATGGTGGTTTTATTTGGAAGAAGCTGTGAAACAGGGAAGTAAAACGGGTAGGAGCAAAGCAATGGCAAAATAAAGATGATAATTTAGGCTCATAAATGGGAGAAAACTGCTAACCAGCAGAAAAGAGCTCTGGAAAAGCCTCTCAGAAGAACTAGCAGAGGGAGAATCCTAACTGGCTCCAGGATCAATATTGATAACATAATGAGACAGTTTCCAGAGTTCTCCCACTTGCAACAGCAGGGACCAGGCTTCTTTTCTCTGGTCTGGCAACAACTCATTTGCTTTAATGTTTTTCGTGTGGTTTCAAAGGTCTGGGATTTTTGCTTGTGTAAATTAGCCTAAAGGGAAAAACATTTTGCTTTAAAAAATCTTTTTCTTAGTCATCTGAACACTGGAAGGAGAATGGTGTTGGAATCTTTTCTTTGGCTTCTCTGCTAATAGCATTTTCCAACCAACTTTTTTTGATTTCAAGATGTGTCAGGAGAAAAGGACACTGTATAGTACACATTATTGATTGTGAGCTGATAACCAGTTCCCTGCTCTTCTCCAGTTTTGTTTTGTTTTTGATTTTTTTACTAAGACTGAACAAGTCAGAGAAAGTATTGCCATATGTTAGAGCCCACCCTATGAAAAAAAAGCAGATATGTTCCCCTCTCTAAGAAGGGGCCATGGACAACTTCAGGGGCATTCTTAGTGTCTGTAATCTATATAACTTTAAATGTTATGGCTTATATGGAAGGCAGCTGTACTCTCATGATTTATTACTTGTGTTGAGAAAACAGAAATATGGCTTACATAACCATGGCTTGCTTATGACAAAATGCTTCACCCCAAAAGCCCCTGGTGCCTTTTTCATGGCCACCTGGACTTCAGAGCTGAAAGCACTGCCTCTTTCATCTGTCTGAAAGGAAGCTGCAGAACCCAATGAACAAGCACTCCAGAAGAGGAACAATTTCTTCAGGAAAGATGCAGGAGGATTTTGGCAAGTGAGAGAAGCTAGCCACTAAAACCCAAGTTCTTTCACATAAGGCAGCAGGGTGAAACCTTATTTTAGAATCTAGATGGGTGATCTTAAAACCTTTGTATTCTGAAAAGAGAGCATTTAAAGTATTACATGGATGGCCAGGGTAAATAAGAGAAAAGAAATGGAAGAATAAGGGTATGTTAGTCCTTAAAAGAATGGAAAGGCTAAAAGGTAGCCTTTTTCCTCTAGTTAAGGAATAGAGTGGAGGTTGTCTAATCTTGCAAAGAAGAAAAGCCTGAAATATCCTTAGAGGCAATGCTGCCTTTTTTAAAGTACACAGCAAGCTGATAGCCAAAGGCAACAGAAGAAACAGTGAAAGGGAACAGCAGAAAGCTGAGACTCGGTGTGAACAGATACCTAAAAGTTAGGGAGCCTGAGGGTATGTGGTTTAACCAGACCACTGAGGACTTTTCCACAGCAGAGGCTCAGATGCCACATTAAATCAACACACATAATATCAAACTGTGGCTATTGTCTTTAGGCACTTATTTTGCACACTGCAAATTAAGATGACTAGCATTAACCCTTTTCTGCTGTCGGTGGAGCTACATTAAAATGCAAATTCCTTTGCATTTTATGCAGACACACCAGTACCCATCACTGAAGCATGGCTGTGTGAGCCATGAATCTCAGCCATGTGATGGAGCCATCAGTCACAGAATCCCATAATCACTTTACTACACTCCCTGGTTCTGGAGGGGTGCCTGGTACCACATGGGGCTTAAAAACAGTCAGTGCTTTGCACGCTTGGAAGACACTCATTTTACTGCAGGTCCAATTGGCTGTGCCTGGCTGCAGGAAAACAACACAGGGTTTCTCTGTCTGTGGAAGTCAGCCTTTAATAGAACAGTTCCCAGTATTACTGGGAGCAGCAAATTTGACATGTATGTGGTTTGGCAAGATTTCATCTTGAATAAATGAGTGTGGGATTTGCTTTAGCACCTGCTGCTCTTTTTACAGTGCCAATTTGTACCTCAGTAGGAATGTTTCCATATAATGCAGTTGTTTAAGGAAGTATTCTAATTTCATAGTGCTTATCTATCTACTATTCAAGGCATGTAAATGTTGTGCATGTTAGTCTGCTCAAATTTATATCTTTCATTATTCTGATACACAAGTACTTTATGGCCACAGTTTTGTTTCCTTTACTAACACCCCTATCCACAGCATCACCTAAAGGTTTAGAATCAAAGCAAACTATACAAAAACGCAATTGAATAGCTTTTTGGTGTGGTCCTTTTTTTTTTTTTAATTTCTCTGTATATCCCTGAGAGCTCATTTAGCTGGGGTTATTTTAAGACTATTTAAAGACCTACACATATTTGGAATATTCCTCCTGAAAAATTCTAGTATAATTAAAAAGTAATTATGTAAATGCTGGGGTTGAGTTTCTCTCTAACCCCATGTTATAGTCTGTAAACTGCCTGAAACCATCAATTTAACTACTTAGAACCGGAAAGTCTTCACTGAGTTGTAGCCCAGTTTGTTTAATGGAAGTGATATACAAAATTATGTTTCTTGGGATTGGAATTTAAAAGTGAATCAAAAGCTCTAGAGAACTTTAATTCCTGTAGATGTTCAAGACAAAGAGGAAGTTGCTGAACCCAGCAGGAGCTGGGAGCTATGCAGGGAAAAGACAAGGAAATGGAAACAACCTATGGTTTCGTTCTCTGGTTCCTGGGATTTAGTATGCAATGTCTTAGAAATCTTATCCTGTTTATATTTGATCCTTGGGATGCATTTCCTGTGCTTTGATTAAATCTTGTCAGTATTCAAGAAACTACAGACTTGAACCTACAGTTTTGTCTGGGACTATCCCATGCAGAAGGGATTTGTTTCTCATTCAGTTTTCCATCATGAGTGACTGCTATTTAGCGATGCCTATTAGTTTTCCTTATTTTTTCCTTGGAAAAAATAAGGACACTGGAATTGTGCCATGTTCCCACAAAAAATTTCTGTTGATCTTCAGCACAAACCAGCAGCTGGAAGTCAACATCAGCCCTGAGAGGTGGCTCACAGTGTAGTGGAGCTGGAACCAAAGACCTAAACCTGTCCTGCCTGTCTTTAGTGTCCAGCTTGGGCGTTTAGTTTCTTCAGGTGGCAGGAGGCACTTCAAAGGATTATGAGAAATTGGCCATGCCTTGCAAAACATTCTAGAAGGGCATCTCTCTCTCATACTCAAAAGGGGATGTGGGATGAAATTAATTTCCAATACTGAGAGGTGGCTCACAGTGTAGTGGAGCTGGAACCAAAGAACTAAACTTGTCTTGCCTCTCTTTAGTGTCCAGCTTAGGTGTTTAATTTCTTCAGGTGCCAGGAGGCACTTCAAAGGATTATGAAAAATTTGCCATGCCTTGCAAAACATTCTAGAAGGTCATCTCTCTCTCATATTCAAAAGGGTATGTGGGATGAAATTGGTTTCCAATGCAGGAGATAAAATATCTTGTGGAAGTATCTGGGGTCCTGTGGAATGAATTTGAGCTGTGGTCAGCAGCTGGGATGATTTGGAAGCTTGCATTTCTGAATATTGGGAAGGCAAGACAACAGCTGGACACTCATATCAGACAAGATCCTAAAACAGGTTATCACAGTCATAACTGATACAAGACCAGGCCCAAAAAACACTCCTGCACCACCAATAATCCCATTTTTAAGTGACTGCCACGGTTAAAGTTGGAGAACTCCTTCTACTATAAATAGATAAAATATCTTGTGGAAGTATCTGGGGTCCTGTGGAATGAATTTGAGCTGTGGTCAGCAGCTGGAATGGTTTGGAAACTTGCACTTCTGAATGCTGGGAAGGCAAGAGAACAGCTGGGCACTCATGTCAGACAAGATCTTAGAACAGGTTATCACAGTCATAACTGATACCTGACCAGGTCCAAAAAACACTCCTGCACCTCCAATAATCCCATTTTTAAGTGACTGCCATGGTTAAAGTTGGAAAACTCCTTCTACTATAAACAGGGTTGGGTTTTTTTTGTTTTTTTTTTTATAGGGGGTAATTTGCAATCTTTGACAGGCTCCTGCAGATAATGCTCAGAGTACCAAGACTTACAGCAACAGGACTAAATAAATATGAATGAAGAGTCACAGTAAATTGGGCATTATTTCTCAGAGCCACCAGAATAGGCTAGGTTCAATTTTCCTAAGCTAGATTTCTTATCAGTCACTCTTAGTTTCACCCTTGTCATCACCAAGCAAACCTTTAAAACAGCAGGAAAAGTAGGTAAGAATGAAAATGCAATTTAAAGCACTTCCAGAAATATTGCACTTTTCCTTACTCCATGACAGACCCCTTATCAGTGTGGACACTCAAGGCTTTTCCACTTATCTGTAGCATCTACCAAGGATTTAACATCACCTGATCATCTTTTTTTCTACCCTAACTGCTTGAGGCACAGGCTGTACAACCCCTCTCTGGTGAAATGCATTACATGCAAAAGCTCTCTGAAATCAAAAAGACAGGAGTAAAATAAAAGCAACTGTCCTAATGCCCACAAATACCTTTTCCACAAGGAAAGAAATGTAACTATCAAACCAGGAGATCATGCAATCTTTGTTACTGCTTTTTTTAAACAAGGTATTTCTTTGATGCTGATTTGGTTTTGATTATATTTGATTATGT